CATTTACTGTGTTCGGCCACGTGCATATACCCCTTATTCTGAAGAAAACAAAGGGAATAGTTACCTATGTCATTAGGTAAAAAAAGTGGGTCGCCAATTTTAAATAAAAAAGCAGAGCATTGGGCTAGTACAACCCACCCATCTCCCTATCTACCTCTATAAGATCTACCTACTGCTGGGTTTCATCTCGTGTTTATGACTATTAAATAGTAATAAAATGCAAATGAATGCCTTATATGTATGTATGAATGAAGTATATGCTCGAGCTTGGATTTTGATAATTGTTATGGTGGATATTCCCTTCATGAAACCATGTTGTTCATTGATAATGACATTCTTAAAATGTAGGGCGATTTTATCTGCAATAACTGGAATACCATAGGATTTTTTCTAGGCTTTTGGAGTACCAGTAGACAATGTCATATTGAAAATATCACACAAAATTTGAGACAGAACAAGCCTGCCTTCTATGAAAACAAACGGTATGCCATCTGGCCCAACACCGAGATTCTGCTTTAATTTGCAAATTCTGTCAAAACATCAAGTGGAGATAGCTTAAGCTGCCCCAGATCAAACATCCTCTCCGATTCAAAATTCGGAAACATTACATAATATAATGTAATATGATATGTCTCTATCTATCTAATCACATGCTAACCACTAACCACACGCTTGCTTTCTTTCCTTTTTTATCACCAAGGAATGAGTCGGAGCGCCCCCCCGAGGCCTGGCGCCTGGAGCGCTCGCTCCGTTCGCCTAATGGTAGGGCTGGCCCTGTATTTGCCGAATCAAGTACAAATACTGGAGCAAAAAATAGTTTACAAAGAAACAGTTTTACGAAATCAACGTCAATTTGAAAGGTTGCTTGATTAAGGAATAAATTTAAATGGGTGCTGGCTGGCATTTTGTCAGTTCTTTATTGTTTTTCTTCTTTATAAAGAAGAAAAAAGTTGTGAAATATTTGAGTTCATTTTGTTTTTTGATTCTCTCTGATTGTATGAAATATCCTTAGCATCTAGAGCACATACAGATGTTTATAACATTAATTGTATAAGCTAGTTGTGGATTAAACCTAATACATATAATTATTATTAATAAATGATTCATTCAAAAATAATAGTATTTGAATTATTATAGTAAAAAAAATCCATGATTAAGAATTCCAGTTAAATTTACCTCTATCAAGTTAGCAATGCCACATGCACGCCGGAAAATAGCGTTAAGTGATCGATATGCTGCCTTTTTGTCGTAAATTTGTCGTGCAAAAAAAAAATTCTAACAGTTATTTCTTAAATCTGGAAATATTGACAGTTGTAAATTGACTTTTTGCAACTTTGACAGGCTGTAAAACCTAAACGGTTAATTCTAGAGGAAAACCGATTTTACATTCCTTTCTAGATTTGCATAAACTATCATTTGACACCAACTTTGAATTTAACTGGAGAATAAATTTAACTGGAATTTTTAATCATGGATTAAATTGAAAGTTGGTGTCAAATGATAGTTTATAAAAATCTAAGATAGGAATGTAAAATCGGTTTTCGTCTAAAATTAACCGTTTAGGTTTTACAGCCTGTCAAAGTTTCAAAAAGTCAGTTTTCAACTGTCAATATTTCCAAAACAGTTGAACGTAGGTATAGGGTATATTGCATGAAATCTGCTCAGAATTTTACGTAGAATCTAAGTATGTAATCACATACAGGGTGTTCCATTTAAAAAAAACCAAGTTCTGTCGCATACCCAATAAACCGGAGCACCGTGTATATTCAAAAATATTTTTAACTAATGCATATTAGAGTATCAAACAACTTTTAATTTTTTTTCTCTTGCGTCACCCTGTAAGGAGATATCGTCCGATATCGCACTAAGTGGACGCTCTGTATTCAAAAAAAAAAAAAGATTAAATAAATCATCACATAGAGGCACTAATATCTCACAAGTAAATCGTATCGAAAAAAAAAGGTCATAAACACATAGAAAATGCAATAAAAAAAAAAATCTCATAAAGAAAACTCAATTGAATATAAATAGGCACATATACAGTGTCATTACTTAAGTGTGCAACATATGGGATTTTTTTTTAGTAATAGCACAATCAAAATACAAACAAGGCCAAAAGTTGGTGCATGTCTGATAATCATATTAGGTGCACTAAGAATGGTTGCAAGTCAAACAGCATACAGGGTAGCTCAAAAAATATCAAAATTGTAGAAATATTTACTTAAATAAAATAAAACTTTTGCACTTCAAGGAGAGTTTTTTTATTATGGCTATTATCATTAGTAATGTTTTAACTTCTAAAAAAAAAAAATTGCGACATTTTAAAGTTGTGTTGAATATCATATTGCAACAAACATGAATGTTGTGATTCCATAAAAAATTAAAAATCTAAGTTAATTTTACAAATATGCTTGAATTTGAACTAAGTTATGTGAAATTGATTTCATTTTAATAAATTTTTGAAAGTATCAAGGGTGGAAATAAAAAATAAAAAAAATATATAAATTATAGATTTTTTTCGAAAAAAAAAAAAAAAAAATTTTAGGAGGCTATGTTTTGGTATTTAGGCATAACTTTTAATTCCAAACAACTTTTCTCCATAACATTTTGCTGAATTTTCCAAAATAAGGGTACTTCACAGTATAATTTTGATAATGTTTGACCTACCCTGTATGCTGTTTGACTTGCAACCATTCTAAGTGCACCTAATATGATTATCAGACATGCACCAACTTTTGGCCTTGTTTGTATTTGGGTTGTGCTATTACTAAAAAAAATTTCCATATGTTGCACACTTAAAAAATCACACTGTATGTAAGTATTGTCCATCGTTTTTAATCTGACAATTTCCGTATGAGGAGCGAGGGGGTGAAGCATATGGCAAAAACAGGTGCGACGACAGATGACCATTGGCGTTCTAGCGTAGGGAGCCACCAGCTCACATTCCTTTGGAATATCAGATTAAAATTGACGGACTGTAAATAACATCAAAAAATATAAAACGAAACATAAGGGTGACAATTTGAAAAGTAGCAATCGGGAATATCTCTTGGACAAAAAATCAGGAAGTTCTCAAATACGTATCGGGGGATTGGAAGGGGAACCAAATGAGGCATTTTTGAGTCACCCCGCCTCACCCCTTAAGGGCCCCATACACTACGATGAAACACGACGGTTTTCATCGCCACGATGAAACACGTCGTTCTAAAAGGCCCCAAACACTACGTTCTTTCTCGTCGGTTTTCATCGCCGCGATGAAACACGTCGTTCCAAAACCGAAGTGTGTGGTAGAAAAACACGACGGTTTTGTACCACACACTTCGGTTTTGGAACGACGTGTTTCATCGTGAAGATGAAAACAGACGAGAAAGAACGTAGTGTATAAGGCCCTTTACGAAGTGTGTGATATAGAAAAACACGACGGTTTTCTACAGGGCCCCACAGACTACGATGAAACACGACGGTTTTCATCGCCACGATGAAACACGTCGTTCCAAAACCGAAGTGTGTGGTATAAAACCGTTCGTATGTGTACGAAATGTTGAACCTCGTGTTGAACCGTCGCCGTCGTGCCAAAAATCAAGCTCGGACTGAATTTTAAACCGACGATGAAACACGACGGTTTTCTACCACACACTTCAGTTTTGGAACGACGTGTTTCATCGTGGCGATGAAAACCGCCGTGTTTCATCGTAGTGTATGGGGCCCTTTAGGGGGTAGCTACCCTAACAACTTATTTTTTTTTTGAATACGAGCCCACTTTGTGTTGCATATCGTTCGATAGCTCGTTGCTATCCCTTCACAGTCATATAGCAAAATGTCAAATCGGACGACTAGTTTTTGAGATATCGGTGTTTAAAAGTAAGCATAAGTATTTTGAAAACCAGTAATTTTGAATATCTCCTAGACAAAAGAATTCTGTCATAAAAGTCGCAAATACACAACGGGGAAACCAAATGTGTTTGTTGCCTAACCCCCACCCCTCTTGTCTTGGGGGCTAGCCGCTCCTAATTATTTTTCTTAAATGAGAACCTACCCCGTGTAATAGCTCCTTTGAAAGGTTTTTTATTCGTCTTCAGGGACGTGCAGAAGCAGATAGAATAACGATAAACACATTATTGGGTTTCGCTGATGTGTATTCGAGACTTTTATGACATAATTTTTTTGTCTATGAGATAGTCAAAATGACTAGTTTTCACAATGTGCTTACTTTTAAACACCGATATCTCAAAAACTAATCATACGATTTAAGATTTTTCTATAGGACTGTGAAGGGGTAGCAACAAGCTATCCAACGATATGCAACACAAGGTAGGTTCGTTTAAAAAAAATATTAATGAGTTGAGGTAGCTACCCTCTAAGGGGTGACGCGGGGTGACTCAAAAAGTGCCTCATTTTGCTTCCTCCTCTAATCCCCTGATACATATTTGAGATCTTCTTGATAGTATTTTTTGTCTAAGAGATATTCCCGATTGCTACTTTTCAAATTGTCACCCTGTATGCACATAGTAGGACATCGCCAGTACACGCAGAACACAGGAATAATCAGCAAAACCGGAGTACCTACTAGTAGGGTACTTGAAACACTAAAAAGTAATTGGAATACATTTTCAAGTCATTCACTTGTTGAAATAGTGACAACTCTGTTTCACTGTGACCACCAGGAAATGCCAGGCTATTATTTCCAGTAAAGTTATAGGTACTCCAAGATCTAGAATGTGCATATGTTAGGACTTAAAACTGTTGTAAAACCTCTATTTCTTAGTTCTTTCAATTGAACTATATTGGTTGGGGCGGTTTTCAAAAAGCACCTAGACACCCAGAAATGTAGTTACAGTTGCATATGATAACCATCCAAAATTTAAGTATTTAGATACCTCATCGGTCAACAAATAAGAGTTTAACAAGGGTCGATCATTAACGTAGACATAGGCCCACTTAAAATTAAATGTCGTTTAGACTTAATTTTTATTAATCTTTTTTTAATTTTTTGTCCATAGAATTGAAGATATATAAACGAAAGATGACACAGAAGAAATCAAGGCCAACAGCCTTCCCTCTTGGGAAAATAAACACCATAATGGAGAGCTCATCAAAACGTGGTCATGTGCCTAGAACATCCTTAACAATGGTCGCAAAAGTTACAGAATTGTTCATTCAAACACTTACCAAAGAATGCTACAATGAAGCAAAAGGGAACAAGTTGGACTACGAGGATATAATGAAAGTTGTTCATGGTTCTTCGAGATATAAATTTTTGAAAGATATTGTACCAAAAAAAATCACTGTGCTGGAATATAAACAAATTATGGCTGAGAAAGAAGCTGAAAAAAGGAGGAGGAATAATACAGGAAACTCTTCTGATGATGAAACTAGTAGGTCCAGTGGATTTGATGAATCTGGTGGGACCAGTGAGGAAGAAGCGGCGCCTGCAAGTCCAGGCAACGAATAAGTGCCATAAATTAGCGTATAAGATGCCATAAAATGGCGAGTGAGATCTGATACATAACTAAGAATTACATACCAATATTTTAAGTTTCAAACTTTTTAAGAAATTGCTCTATTAGGTAATCCAAATTTAACTAGTGCCTTATAAAATTTTAATAAAGATCAATTTCTAAACAAAATTTCATAATTTTTATCCAACTTTCAACACAGAACCGAAGCAAAATAACTCAATCACCAAAACCATTATATGCACTGTGTATACGCACATACAAGCTTATCGCAGTTTGTGGTGTAACAGCATTTACCTTGAAAATGTCCCTTATTTTCCCAACTTAATTGATTGTTGGCATTACAAATATCTATATTCATCTACTCGAGTTCCCTATATGTATTAAGTGGAATTAAAATGTATTTTATATATGACATAGAATTTTTTTTCATCTGCATTTGTTAAAGCTTTACGTACCTACGCTGTACGGTTATAACTGATGTGCAATCAATTAAATAATGCCGGGGTGGCGCGTTCTTGTCTTCTCTGGGCACAGTCCTGAAAATAGTGGGCAGGTGCCATCTGCTATCATTCCTGTGTGTTGCTTGATCTGTTTTGTACCTGTTTTTCTTTCTCTCGTTAAATTTTTGTAACTTGAATTACTTTGTGTGGTTGATTTAATGATTCTAAATATGCACGGTTTATTTGATGGAAATTTTATATACCTACCTAATCTTATAGAGTTTTAATATTGGATCAATGTGATATATTGTACCTACTTATTCTATCTTTGCTATTGTAAATTACCGGTGTGAAGTTGGTGGCAAAAGATAGTAGCCAAATTTTCCGAAGATACCCGAACGCCCAGTGGCGTCGGGTCATATTTTAATCGACAGAAATTGTATTTTACCTCACTTGACTTAGTTTTCTAAAATTCTACTACAGTTACATATCAGCAAAAAAAACCCATATTCTTGGGGAAATTATATCAAGGGGTATACGAGACGGTATTTTTTTAAATGTTATTTTGTTTTTTAAAATATCTCAAAATCTGTTCGTTTCAAAAGATTCATATTTAAACCACAGTTAACTTAGGTGCTGATTCAATTTTGAAAAAATATTTCATCCCCAGCAACCCGGGACAAGGGGTTCAACTGGAGGTTGGAAACATATTTTTTGAATTATTTTTAAATTTCTCGAAATCTGCTCGTTTCTACAGATTTATATTTGAACCACAGTTAACTTAGCTGCTGATTCAATTTTAAAAAAATATTTCATCCCCAGCAACCCGGGACAAGGGGTTCAACTGGGGGTTGGAAGCATATTTTTTGAATTATTTGAAAATTTCTCGAAATCTGCTCGTTTCTACAAATTTATATTTGAACCACAGTTAACTTAGGTGCTGATTCAATTTTAAAAAAATATTTCATCCCCAGCAACCCGAGACAAGGGGTTCAACTGGGGGTTGGAAGCATATTTTTTGAATTATTTTCAAATTTCTCGAAATCTGCTCGTTTATACAGATTTATATTTGAACCACAGTTACCTTGGGTGCTGATTCAATTTTTAAAAAATATTTCATCCCCAGCAACCCGGGACAAGGGGTTCAACTGGGGGTTGGAAGCATATTTTTTGAATTATTTTGAAATTTCTCGAAATCTGCTCGTTTCTACAGATTTATATTTGAACCACAGTTAACTTAGGTGCTGATTCAATTTTAAAAAAATATTTCATCCCCAGCAACCCGGGACAAGGGGTTCAACTGGGGGTTGGAAGCATATTTTTTGAATTATTTTTAAATTTCTCGAAATCTGCTCGTTTCTACAGATTTATATTTGAACCACAGTTAACTTAGGTGCTGATTCAATTTTAAAAAAATATTTCATCCCCAGCAACCCGGGACAAGGGGTTCAACTGGGGGTTGGAAGCATATTTTTTGAATTATTTTCAAATTTCTCGAAATCTGCTCGTTTCTACAGATTTATATTTGAACCACAGTTAACTTAGGTACTGATTCAATTTAAAAGAAATATTTCATCCCCAGCAACCGGGGACAAGGGGTTCAACTGGGGGTTGAAAGCATATTTTTTGAATTATTTTTAAATTTCTCGAAATCTGCTCGTTTCTACAGATTTATATTTGAACCACAGTTAACTTAGGTGCTGATTCAATTTTAAAAAAATATTTCATCCCCAGCAACCCGGGACAAGGGGTTCAACTGGGGGTTGGAAGCATTTTTTTTGAATTATTTTCAAATTTCTCGAAATCTGCTCGTTTCTACAGATTTATATTTGAACCACAGTTAACTTAGGTGCTGATTCAATTTAAAAAAAATATTTCATCCCCAGCAACCCGGGACAAGGGGTTCAACTGGGGGTTGGAAGCATATTTTTTGAATTATTTTCAAATTTCTCGAAATCTGCTCGTTTCTACAGATTTATATTTGAACCACAGTTACCTTAGGTGCTGATTCAATTTTTAATAAATATTTCATCCCCAGCAACCCGGGACAAGGGGTTCAACTGGGGGTTGGAAGCATATTTTTTGAATTATTTTCAAATTTCTCGAAATCTGCTCGTTTCTACAGATTTATATTTGAACCACAGTTACCTTAGGTGCTGATTCAATTTTAAAAAAATATTTCATCCCCAGCAACCCGGGACAAGGGGTTCAACTGGGGGTTGGAAGCATATTTTTTGAATTATTTTTAAATTTCTCGAAATCTGCTCGTTTCTACAGATTTATATTTGAACCACAGTTAACTTAGGTGCTGATTCAATTTAAAAAAAATATTTCATCCCCAGCAACCGGGGACAAGGGGTTCAACTGGGGGTTGAAAGCATATTTTTTGAATTATTTTTAAATTTCTCGAAATCTGCTCGTTTCTACAGATTTATATTTGAACCACAGTTAACTTAGGTGCTGATTCAATTTAAAAAAAATATTTCATCCTCAGCAACCCGGGACAAGGGGTTCAACTGGGGGTTGGAAGCATATTTTTTGAATTATTTTTAAATATCTCAAAATCTGCTCGTTTCTACATTTCTACGTTTCTCAATTCATCAATGTTAAGCCCTAAATATTTTATAGATGTTACTTTCTGTAAAGGAATGTTGTTAATTTTAATATTCACGTTTTCTATCAATTTATTCTTGGTCCCAAACACTATAAATTTGTTTTTTTCAATATTTATTTTTAATTTGTTTGCATAAAGCCGATTAAGATAATTATCTAGGTCTTGATTAACTTGCGCCTCTAAATGCCCTCTATCTGACCCTGTATAAACCAAAGCCGTATCATCTGCAAATGTGAAATATCTGGCCCTAACAGGTGCCAACTTAAGATTGAGTACATAAATTGAGTAAAAAAGCGGCCCTAACACTGAGCCTTCCATCTTAACAAATTTTTGCCTATTACTTAAATCTGTTTTGATCAGATTTAAAAAATTTCCCTGAAACCCTAGACAATGAAGTTTAATCAAAAGTTTATCCAATGAAACGACATCGAACGCCTTCTTTAGATCTACAAACACAGATATAACTACGTTTTTTTTATCTAAATTTGCCGATACATAATTAACAAAGTCGAATGTACCTAGCTGATAGCGTATTGCTGTTCTTAATGAAACCATGCTGAAAAGGATCAACATTTAAATATTACATAAATCCGATGAAACGAGCAAATTTCGAGAAATTTAATAATAATTCAAAAAATATGCTTCCAACCCCCAGTCGAACCCCTTGTCCCGGGTTGCTGGGGATGAGATATTTTTTTAAAATTGAATCAGCACCTAAGTTAACTGTGGTTCAAATATAAATCTGTAGAAACGAGCAGATTTTTAGATATTTAAAAATAATTCAAAAAATATGCTTCCAACCCCCAGTTGAACTCCTTGTCCCGGGTTGCTGGGGATGAAATATTTTTTTAAAATTGAAGCAGCACCTAAGTCAACTGTGGTTCAAATATAAATCTGTAGAAACGAGCAGATTTGGAGAAACTTAAAAAAATATGCTTCCAACCCTCAGTTGAACCCCTTGTCCCGGGTTGCTGGGGATGAAATATTTTTTTTTAATTGAATCAGCACCCAAGTTAACTGTGGTTCAAATATAAATCTGTAGAAACGAGCAGATTTCGAGAAATTTAAAAATAATTCAAAAAATATGTTTCCAACCTCCAGTTGAACCCCTTGTCCCGGGTTGCTGGGGATGAAATATTTTTTCAAAATTGAATCAGCACCTAAGTTAACCGTGGTTCAAATATGAATCTTTTGAAACGAGCAAATTTTGAGATATTTTAAAAAACAAAATAACATTTAAAAAAATACCGTCTCGTATATGTACCCCTTGATATAATTTCCCCTAGAATGTGGGTTTTTTTTGCTGATATGTAACTGTAGTAGAATTTTAGAAAACTAAGTCAAGTGAGGTAAAATACAATTTCTGTCGATTAAAATATGACGACGCCACTGGGCGTTCGGGTATCTTCGGAAAATTTGGCTACTATCTTTTGCCACCAACTTCACACCGGTTTGTAAATTGGGTTTAACTTTAATACATATATTATTATTATAAATTAATAAATAGTGGGGATACAGCCAATTCTTATTTTTTAGTTTTTGAAAATAGCTTTTTTTGTAAAAGCTTTCGCAATTATTTAATTGCTTCCTGAGTTACAAAAGTTGATTCATATTATTTCGGAGTTTTTCAATCTTGTTGTAGCAGTTGCTGCCCTATAGAATGTTTATGCCGGCAGCGTCCACAGTTCAATAGAACCAAACTTTTAATAGTATGAATAAGTCTTATCCACTAGAGGCTTCTTTTCAGACATGCCTAATCATTGAATTAGAGATATTCAATATTTAGCATGTATAAATAAATTCAAATACACTGCTAGCTAGTCAAATAATAAAGCCATGTTGTGTTAAATTGAATCAAGCTATCTAAAATAGCTTTTTAAAGTTCATATTTTCTCTTTATAATTTCATCCTAGTATAGATGATACCATTTTATAATCAATGCATAAATAAATTATAGCACAATAAATGAAACGCATACAATGTTGCTAAAATTGTTGATTCTTTTTTTCTAAAAGGCACAAATAATTAATACAAGCGAATGGGCAAACAAACTCTTGCAAGGGTAGATACACTTATCTCTAGTTATTCTTACAAATATTAAAATTAACATTAGAATATAACAAGTTACTTAAACCAACTTAATTTCACTTCATACGATGTCATACATTATTTTTGTTTTCTTCTTTTTTTTGAAACTGGACATTTTTTTTTTCGGGCACCTCGCAACCCTAACGTTGCACCAATTGTATCCTTGGAATATTTACAAGAACTTGTGCCACACTCGCAAGTAAACCATTTTCGTTTCACTTGCCAGAATCTTTCGCCATAATCAAAACTAAAGAAATCCTTTTTTTAAAAACATTTGAAAAATTAAAATTAATAATAATTTTAACCTTAACTCCTGATTAGCTTCAATATTATTTTTAGCAAAAAGAGCTATCCTAGGAAATCTACGGTCATGATGCTCTACAAAAACTTTAACTGGATGTAAATTGGGTTCACATGAATGATTGATAAACCTTGAAAAGTTTCCATAAAATTTGGCATCAATACAAAAAGAATCGGTGTCCTAAGAAAAATAATTGAGATTGATAAAAATACATAATTTGGGTATAAACTACTGACCTTATTGTCAAGATCAAACAAATATGCATCATCTTCCCTTCGATCCGCTTCCATATCTGTCAATATTTCCCCAATATATTCGCAAACATAATTTCCCATAGGAATAAAACTTAAAGTTTTTACGGACCAACCCTTTTTTGTCGTTCTTAATAACTCAAATCTTTCAGTGGATGACTTTTGAACCAGTCTGTTATTGCATAAAATTGCGTTGCATGTACAAAAATCGTTGCATTCGAAAATCGTGGGAGAATCTTCTTCTGACAATAACATTATGACAATTTTAGTTACAAGCAAAGCAAAGTTCTTACATTATTTACCACCAACCAAATTGAAGTCCGGTATCAACTTTCCCTGATTATACCAACATTTTAAAGACAATTTTGCACAATTGCATTCTGTAGATTTACATATGTCCACACAAGTACAAGATTTTATTGTAGGTAATTTGGTGTCTATTTGAAAACTATTAGAACTTTGACAGTTTTTTGTTATGTATGTATATTCGTTTGGTTCTTTTTCATTATCTACGTTGTTGTAGCACGGAATGGGGTTCAGTTCTCTGCCCCTTGAAATATCACTGGAAGAAAACATGTAAACTTTGCAAAGTAAATAAGGGAAACATGTTACCTTGATAGTAATCCTGTCGCTTTTGATTTGTCTTTCAAATTCAATTCAGTAGCCAATTTTAAAGTTGAAAAACACAATCCATTTGCAACACTAGAATTTAATGCTGTTGAATTATCTGAATTTATAGTGGAAACATCAGCTTTTCTTGACAACAGCATAATTACACAGTTATAATGATCATCTCTTGCACTCAAATGCCTAAAAATTGAAAACAAACACTTATTCACTTATACAGAAAATTTTAACAATTTACGTACAAAGGTGTATCTCCGTGAACATTTTGAACATTGATATCTGCATTAAAGCTGAGAAGTAATTCAACTACTTGGGTGTTACCCTTGAAAGCTGCCCAGTGTAATGGCACGTTATGCTGAACATCTCTGAAAATTTTAGTTATTTTGTGAATTGTAAACTTGGGCCTATACAATATATATTCTCTTTTTTGAAAAAAAATAGTTATCTAAAGAATGATATTCATTAGAATCAAAATCAGAGGAAGTAAACGATTAGTCAGTTCAGTGGCGCAGCCAGACATTTTGTCTGAGGGGGGCCATGCAGAAAAAATTATAGGAATATACACAGACCCACTATCCTTTAGCTTTTTATGATATGAGCAGTTTACAGCTTCTGTCTACTTTATAATTTTTCTATTTTTCTCTGAAGCTTTGGGGGGGGGGCGCCCTGCCCCCACCCCCTGGCTGCGCCCCTGAGTCAAATCCTCGTTCCCCTACCCATCTCTAGAGGACAATTTGCGCAGCTACTTACCTTATGTTGATATCTGCCCCGTTGGATATGAAATACTTGGCAATATCGAAGAAGTTATAGTCACAAGCCCAGGCCAATGGAGTCCAACCATTATCGTCTTGAAGATTTACAAAATTTTTGTGAGCGAAGCTGGAATCTAGAATAACTTTGCATGCTTCAAGGTTTCCATATTCTGCTGCTACATGCAAACAAGTCATTCCATCAATACCCTAAAAAAATATATATTATGCTCAAAAACTGTATATTTTCCTAACTAAGCGTAGGTACCTTTAAAGTTAAGTCCGCACCAGCATGTACAAGATACTGAATCATTTCATTTTTTTCTGCTTTTATAGCTACCATTAGTGCAGAATTTTGCGCAGAATTCAGAACATTAATATCAATTTGGTTTAATATTAGCAAATAGGCTATTTGAACATTTCCTGTTGAGGCCGCCAAGTGGAGTAATGTTCCGTTGCAGTACTCAGGAAGTCTGCGATTTGCGTTGCAAGAGCCTTTTTCTGAGTTGAAATACGTGTTTGTGATAGTAGTAAATAAATTAAGGATTTTGTTGCTTTACCTAAAATTATAGCAACTTTGCCTACATCATTATTTGCAAGGGCTTTAATAAGACTGATAAGAAGCTTGGTTTCATCACAGTCAATCTCTTCATGTATTCTGCTTTTGAGATTCTCTATTTCTTTCAAATCTATTATTGGAATAATTTGATTTCCTTTTTTTTCTTTAGACGTCATTTTAGTTGAGGTACCTATCTACTAAAAATATTATAAAGACAAAACGTTTCTAAGGCATAAACAATTTAAGCCAAGCAAAAAATTGAAAATTACAAAAAAGAACTTGTTGCTAAGCTAAGCTATATGGATCAGGACCATGGGCGTCGTTTGGGGGGGGGGGGGCAAATGCCCCCCCCCCTAGAAATAGTCTTTTGAACAAGAAAGAGAGTTCGTATTCGTATCGCTTTTTTCCATTTTTTCAAAATTTGTTAGGTACTTATTTTATAGTCTGGCAATGGTGTGTATCTTGCAATAAGTGCAAGAGAGTTCCTATTTTATATTTTTAAGAAAAAAATGTTTGTTTCTTAGTCTTTACTATTATTTATCTTTCGATTAAGACTAAAATGTTCATGTTTATGAATGATTTTTCTATTTTGTTTTAAACTTTACCTGTAGTAACAGTTTAAAATATTTTTTTTTTTAGACTCAGAAGTTACTTCCCTTGTTCCTACCTAAGCAGTTCTAGAATTTTGTAGTTTTATTTTTGTTAGACTGTCCCGTTGGAAAAAATTTGGTTTTTCGGTCCTATTTTCGTAAAACTTGTAATTTGTGCAATTGTATCTGTAGGTATTTTTAATAAAACATATATTTTGATGAAAGATTAGTGCTTACCTATTTGAGTAACGACCTTCAATGAATACGCTGTGCGGTGAAAAATTGGCTGACATTTTCATGACCTACATTCAACGGAATTGAATTTCACTTGACTTAGGGCCGGTATTATAAAACACTGAACCGATGGTAGAGTTTCAACCTTCGGTTGAATCCTATCAATTTGCATGGAGTAAACCGAAGGTTGAAACTCAATCATCGATTCAGTGTTTTAAAATAGGTAGAAAATTACCTAAAAAAATGATGCGGACAGTGAATTTGTTGCGGAAAAAAATACCATCATTTAAAACCAAATATCGATATCAAATAAGTACGTTAAAATGCTCAAAAAGGGGCGTGGCGCCAAAAAAAAATTAGCCTACGGCGCTAATGGAAACGGCCTTATTATGATACTGCTCCCCCCTGAGAAACCTCGTAACGACGCCCATGATCAGGACAGGACATTAGAAGGTAGACACTTCCAGGTAAATAATGCATTTAGCAAAAGCGGTAATCTCATGTAATTTTCAAGATCTATATTGGCAATATCTTTAATAGGGATAAAAACAAGCATTTCAAAGTTAATACCTAATCGAAGGAGAGAAAATGCATATCATCTCCAGCCATATTAGAATTAAGTTGTTACTCTAGGACAGGCGTCATGAGCTCAAAAGAGTTAAGCTGGCGAGCAATGTGCATATCCACAGAACATTCTTCACCATGGCACAAACTGATAACAAAACAGATAATGTACAATAGCAATATAAATATAAATGAACAAACACCAAAAGCTGGTCACATACTAGTATACATGTGCGTCATACATGTTTGCCGTAAACGCTTGTGCGTTCATGTTTGCCTGTGTGTGGGCAAAAATCTGCAAGCATGTATGTCACACAAGTTTTCTGATCAGACCGGGATTCATGCGGGCGCAAGCATGTACTTGCATACAAGAGTGTCAGTGTGTGGCCCATGTTCACTCTTCATTTGCACACATTGTTAGTACAGTGGCTCTTAATCTCACCCGCGGCCGCAACGTACTTTTATTTTTTGAAATTATTCGTAAATAGATATCTCACAGTGTGTATAAGCTGGCCACAGTCAGAGCTGGGCAGTAGCTAGCTACCAAGTAGTTAAGCTACTAGCTTAGCTACTTTTTTGGTAGCTAATAACTTATTCAAGCTACTTTGAAAAAAAAGTAGCTTGTAGCTGTAGCTTTTGGTAATGTGTTTCAAGTATTCATAAGCTACTGTGAAAAGTAGCTAGCTACTAAAACAAGCTACTTAAGCTACTTTTGGTAGATAGTTAATAGTTATTTAGGTATTAATGGCGGAAAGTGTCATTTACCGCCCGAGGGTGTGGTCAACGATACTTAACGCCCAAAATACCTATTACGTTTTATGCGCAGCGGACTCTTCTAGTTCAAAAATGAAATAACTATACCTATAATATAATGGCATCCATTCGACATTGTTTTCAAAAATAAACAGGTTTCCTCTTATAAAGGCACGTTTCCACCAACCTATCGCCCGGGTTTGAATTTACCGCTCGATAAAAGTAACTTTATGCTTAATTGCTCAAGCTACAATTATCATTTTCCGGAAAATTCTTATCCTGCCTTGCTTAGACTAGTTTCTAGTTATCTCTGTAGGTACCTATGTTTTATGTGTCCTATTTTATTCTCGCATTCGCAGATCACTGTGATCAAAGTTAACCTAATAAATTAATGTCCAGTGGTTTTTGACAAAAATATGAATACTACTTCTTAGAGAAAGTTAATATGTTATTTTCGTATGATGATATTATGAAATTAAATTAGGTAAGGCATGTACATTGATAAAAGTAGCTTAAATAGTAGCTTTCACTAATTCAAAATGTAGTTAAGTTACTAATAGCTTAGCTACTTTTTCAAAGAGGTAGTTGAGCTAGTAGGTAACTTAGCTACTTACAATATAAAGTAGCTTGTAGCTTGTAGCTAGCTACTTTTTCCAAGTAGCTTGCTCAGCTCTGGCCACAGTAGCATACAAGTGCGTCATACATGTTTGTCATACATGTGTATCGTCCATGTACGACGAGAGCTTTGCAAGATTTTTTTTAACGCTCAGAAGAATGTATATACCTACCTATGGCGGGTTTATACAACATTTGCATAGTCATAATCATAGTCACAATTTCAATTTTAATCACAATTTTAGAACTTCACTATTTGACAGATCCAGTTTTATTTACGTTATCAATTTTTCAAAGTTTAAAGAGCTTAAAAAGTATCAAAATGGAAAATACTCAAGAATGAATCAAGATCAATTCAGTATGATTGACATTATGTGCAGAGGGTTTCAACCAGGATTCTGCAGTTTTGAAGGCAAGCAGTTTAGTTTCAGCATTAATCAATGGTCAGTTGGACTTATCACCTACGAAATGCTTTACAAAAACTGATTGCGAATTGCCACACTTCTTAGTAGCTGATGCTGCATTTCCTTTGCATGACAATAAAATCGGATCATATCCAAGCAAATATCAGGGAGTTTTTTTTTTTTTTTTTTAATAATATATTTAATTATAGGATGAGCTGTTCCCGCAGATGCATTTAAAACGCCTTTGGAATTTTGAGTCAACAATGCCGAATACTATATGAAGACAATTAATGCCAGTGTTGAAGTCTCAGAGTTAATCATGCCGGCCACCATTATACTGCATAATAATGGTCAGTTATTTGAAGGGATATGGAGGCAAGAAGGAAACAATTTAAGATCAATGTCCAGACAGGATGCAATAATCACAAAAAAAATCTTGAAGACAAATTAGCACTTTCTTGTATCAAGGGTAGGATAAATTCCTTGGCAAGAGGAGGGGCACCTTTTCTATAGAAATAAAGCATGTATTTTCAACTACCTGGGGTCTACATATAGCCCTAGTAGTATCGTATTTAGAGTAGTTTTGAAAACTTTGTGCACAAATAAAACAATTAAAGCAAATAAAAATATTTTATTTGAATATCCAATTTTTTATTAGACTATTTGTCTAGCTCTTCTGCTGCCATCGTCGGAATTTATGTTTTTTTTTTCTCAATTTTTTCCAGCATCTCCACTAGACTCCTACCAAATTGTCGTGGTTGTCACTGACTTCATCTGTTTTCTTTTTTCAACAAAAAAATTTACATTTTGCCCCACAGAAGCACACTCAGACTCGGAGTATGATTTATGACTATGCAAATGTTGTATAAACCCATATCTTACCTCCACAAGGTTTATCAAGCAGGGTTTACCTAGGTCGCAACCAGCTGAGCTGAAACAATTATTCAATATAACCTATTAAACTTTGCAAAAACCAATGAACTGCAAAAACAGATACATTCAGGTTTGTGTAAGAATAATTAAGTGAAAACTGAAAATTGATGAAAAATACAAAGCAAAGATCTAGGCCAATAAAGCTCAGGCTCTCAAAAGGCAACAAAAATCGCGACCTAGACAAACTAATCACCCTACCATCAACCATAAGCAACCAGCAGAAAGTTGAGGGATGTTAAATGATATGTACTACTGAAATTAGTACCATTTCACCACACTACTTGTTATGATCAAGTTAGTACACATTATACATACCTTTGTAGTTCAAAGTATGTGCTTTTATTTGTATTCATTTGGCAATCTACGACATATTTATTATTAAAAATATAAAACAATTGCAAAAAAATAAAATAAATAAAGAAACGTCAAGCACTCGGGCGTCATGTATCCATCCTGCATAGAGGGAGGGCTTATCGATATATACATCGATACCCAAGAATCGTAAACTCTACAGGATTGCTCAATCGGCTAAATTTGTTCACAAGTGCTGTGACGTCACCTGCATTCCTGACTTTCAAGATGGCCGGCGATACAGATGATAGTTGAGTTTATGCTGACAATTTTATCCTAAATTCGAAGTTTATCAAAAAGCCGCTTTCCAGCTGACACTTTTGAGCACGCAATCGAGCTTTTGCGCGCGCAAATGCTTCAAGCGCGTGTTCGTGTTCCAGCCGTACTGCGCTTCGAGAGCTGTTAACTTTTGCGTTTCAAACACAGAACACTTTGCTGCACCGTGCTTGAAGCACACACCTGGAAAGCGGCTCAAGTGTAAAAGCCTAATTCTCACTTGCGCGGAATTCGCTCTTTTTTGACATTGCTTCGATAATTTGACGTTTGATACACGCATAAAACGTCAAATTTTCGAGGCAATGTCAAAAAAAAAGCGAATTTCGCGCAAGTGAGAATGAGGCATTAAGCCTAGTAGTACTCATAACCGCGAAATTCGCTCTTTTTTGACACAGTTCTCGTCCGATAGTCGAATCGAACGGGTGCTTTGTTGCTTATAAAGTAAACAAGTCGCTTTTTGCTATCTCCATTGTGTGAAATAAAGTTTTTTGCCGGCACATTCCGCTTCCGGACGTGCCAAGTAATTTGCCAGTTTTCTTCGCCAAATTCATCGCCGGGTAAGTGCTGGTTGTAGCATTACCCAGAGTTTTTTCGGGGCTTTCGCCCCATATAAATTAGAGCCTTTTAGCCAAAATTAATTTTCGGATTTTTTTGCTGCGAAATTCCGGAAATTCCACAAAAGTTGCCAAGCAGAAACCAGTAAGGGCTCCTAGCAACATCAGGTAGGACCCTGAAATAAGTCAGGGCACGCTTATATTATCGCCTAACATCGGCAAAGTAAGGGGACGAGAATACTACATAAACCATATCTTCGCAGAAGTCAGGGCACGATTCTCCGTACTGTTACAAAATCAAGTAAGGGGACGTGGACAGACCAAAAATCAAAACAAAAATTTTTAGAAGTAAAGTCAGGGCACGACATCTCCTAACAAAGTAAGGGGACGTTCGCAGTCAGGGAACGTCCACTAAGTTGGGTCACGATCAACGACACAACTTGTCTCACAAACAAGTGAGGGTACCTCCCAAGTAGCTACACGCCAGCTGCCATATAATAAGTAAGGGGACGTTCACAGCCAGGGAACGTCCACTAAGTTGGGGCACGATCAAAGACAACTCAAACAAGTGAGGGTATCTCCCAAAGCTGTGACACGCCAGCGGCCACAACTAATATCTGCAGCAAGTGAGGGACGCTGCAACACAAGGGTCCACTACAAAGTGAGAGGACTTTAATAAAAGTGTAATAAAGTGTTTGTAAAGTAAATGTCACTAAAAATCATTGAAGAATGAGCTTCATTCTTCAATGATTTTGCGTGCGGGAATAATGACATTCTCACATCAAAATCGAGAAAAGACATTCCCTACCTGGTTCAGGTTTTCAACTATTTCTTCCCTAAAATTGACATATGTATTGCCATAGCTGCGTCAAGTTAGCCCCCCCACATTCGAATTTTCTAAAAAAATTGCCCACTTACTGTGCTCAAAGTGTGCTTTACTGTGCCGATGATATTTTCAACTGTGCCGTTTCGGTAACAAAGTTATAAGTAAAAATAGATGAGGGGCTAACTTGACGCTCAGCCCCCCCAAAGTTTTGGAAATCAGCTGAAACCAAAAAGGATTCTTATCCAATCTGGAGTGTGCTGAACTGTGCTGTATCAGGTTTTTCTGAAAATTTTCATATTCGGTCATTTACCGACAGAATCCTACTGGGGGGCTAACTTGACGCTTAGCCCCCCCAAAATTTCGAAAATCAGTTTGAACAAAATTAAATTCTTATCCAATTTGAAGTGTGCTGAACTGTGCTGTATCAAGTTTTTCTTAAAATTTCCATATTCGGTCATTTTCCGACAAAAAACTAAGAGGGGCCTAAGTTGATGCCAAATTTTAAAAATCAGATCAAAGAAAAACGGTCTCTAATTCTTATCAAATCTGAAGTGTGCTGAATGTGCCTGATCAGGTTATTCCAAGCTTCCATGTTTGATCATTTCCCGATATAAACCTAATGGAAAATTATTATAATTTCGTAAAATATGAAAAAATTTAATTAACAGGAATGTAAATTCTCAGAGCTGAGCGTCAAGTTAGCTAGTAGGATTTTGTCGGAAAATAACCGAATATGAAAATTTTGAGAAAAACCTGATCCAGCACAGTTCAGCACACTTCAGATTGGATAAGAATTCAAATTTGCTTAATCTGAATTCCAAAATTTTGGGGGAGCTGAGCGTCAAGTAAGCCCCCCGCAGTAGGATTTTGTCAGAACATGACCGAATATGGAAATTTTCAGAAAAACCTGATACAGCACAGTTCAGCACACTTCAGATTGGATAAGAATCCTTTTTGGTTTCATCTGATTTCCAAAATTTTGGGGGGGCTGAGCGTCAAGTTAGCCCCTCATCTATTTTTTCCTATAATTTTGTTACCCAAACGGCACAGTTCAAAATATCATCGGCACCGTAAAGCACACTTCGAGCACAGTAAGTGGTTGCAATTTTTTTAGAAAATTCGCATGTCGGGGAGCTAACTTGACGGAGCCTCCTGCCATGCTATAACACTAAATATGAAATTCAAATAAAAAACATCACCACCACCAATGTGAATATTGGTAAAAGAGAAAACTCTGCAAAAATTAAATTCATGGCTAACACGGAAAAATTCAGAAAAGATTTCACATTCATTTACACCGATCAGTGGCGGATCTAGCATGAAGCAAACGACGCACTGTGCGTCGGGCCCCAGAGCTGAGGGGCCCCCACACAACCAGATTCTAAAGGGACCGATAAAAATAAATTAAAAAAAATAAACTCGTAGATATAAAAAAAAATACGAAAATTAAATTTTGAAAGAGACGGCAACGTTGTATACCAGGATGCCTATTCTTGAAACCGGGGAACAGCGTTCTCACGTTCTCACGAGAAAGAACGATTGCTCTGTCTTTGTCAGTGTTATGGAAATAGGAATATGGGCAACTAAGACAGAACGCTATCTCCTGTTTCGACAATAAAGGCCCTGTAGGGAATCCAGGGCTGGAATCATGACAAGTAGAATTCCACTTTCATGACGTCATCCGCGACACATTTATCGCGTACAGTACAGGCGATGATGACAATTGTTAGGCTACCTGACGTCATAAAAAAGAAATTCTAGTAGTATGTCGTAATCCCAGCCCTGATGCACTCGACGCGATAATGCGGCAACCGCGGACGCGTCGACTTTAGGCGGCTTTTTTAGCTATTAGGCAATTTTTCGCGAGGATAATCAAGCATAATCTGATTATGCTGGGTTATGTGATGTGTCAATTGTATCATACTCCTCTAACTTCCTCTACATCAAATTCTGGGCCTACGAGTGACGTCACTACTATCAGCCGCTTGTAGTGATGGCGTCACCCGCATACCTCGATGGAATGCTTGCGATTCAGGCTGTGCTAGTGTTAAATTTTTCGTCGATTTTAAATGTAGAAAAGGTGATTTTCGGTCTGTTCTCTCAGAAGAAATTAGGTGTTCTTGATCCTCGAGTATCCCAGAATTTGATGGTGGGGGAGTTAGGGGAGCAACGTGTTGCCAACCGTACTACAATTATAGTATTTGTACTATAATTGAATGGTACTATGTACTATCAAAGGTCATTATAGTACGCCTAAAATACTATAATGATGCATTATCAAATTATTTAGTTTTTTACTGGAAAATAATTGCAAAAAAAAAATCCACGGCCATCAGTGGGATACGAGACGAGGTCATCAGCGTCAGCCAGCACCTTATCCACTACGTGAATGCAACGCAACCATCCCTGCCAGTTCTTTCGATTCCCCATCCCAACGCAAAGTGCCAGAGAAAATTTTCAAATGCAAACCCTATTCAAATAAAGTTACGCAACAAAACAGCTACAAGTACTACTGTGAATGGAGCATTATTAACTTCTCAGGGTGGGTTTCTCAATAGCGAGTTACCTCCGGGTTGGTTTTAACTTCTGGGTAAACGTATCCAGTTGCAATGTTTACCCTGGAGTTACGCTCAACCCGGGGGTGACTTGCTATTGAGAAACCGGCCCTGAAGCTAGTATAAATTTTATTTTTTATTTATACCTTGTTGTTATTTTACTAGTACATATTTTCCATTTTCCTACTTCAATATGCGCAATTTTTCGTTAATACCGTATACGGAAGAATGCCTCTAACGGCTCTAAATTCCTTTTTTTGGAATGGAATGGAATGGAAACAACAGGATACTATAATTTGTACAAATGTACTATAATTTTGTAGCGTTCTATACTATAATAATTTATCCGCAATTGGCAACAATGTAGGGGAGGATGACACATATGACACATCATATAATCCAGCAAAAGATTTTGCTTGGTTATCCTCGTAAAAAATTGCCTATTGTCTTCCAGACTCAGATAATTTATGGCACTTGTCGGTGGAGTACGGACAGTATCAGTGCAGTGCGGTACTACTATGATGTATTTCTTTTTGTTTAAATAAAATGTTCCTAAATTTTTAGAATTTTTTTTTTCGTTTAACTTGTTTTCTGTCTCATACTTATATTCTTGATAAACTTATATAATATAATAATAACTTCCGCACAATCAGTTTACAGCCCAACACCACAAGAAAAATACCTAAAAAAGGCATGACAGGGCCCAAAAAAAAATTTTGCGTCGGGCCCCAGAGGTCCTAGGTCCGCCACTGACACCGATGGATCAAAAAAGGAACTTAAAGCTGGTTTTGGCGTACACTGTCCTTCCTTGAAATACAACTCCAACTCCAGCCATCCCCGAAGCCATTATCTTCATGGCCAAGAGAAGCATCAAAAAAGCAACTATTTTCACCGATTCTAAAAGTGCAGTAGACTAATAGACATTCTCAACCAAAGCCCTATGAACCCAGACATGCATAGTTTAGCACTGAAAGCCGAATCGCTACTAATCGCAATATATGAGGCAGGCTATGACATCAAATTGCCATGGATATCCAGTTACGTTGAAATCCCTGGAAGTGAAACAGTCGACAAGTTGGATTATCTTGGAAGAAAACTCAATGTCCCAAAAAACCTACCTAAACAAAAATAACATACTGACTGCCATCAAAGAAGAGATTTAGAAAGAGCTTGGAAAGACTCTCAGATATAAAGGCATCAGGTGGTATGCCCAGTTGCAAGACAGCTTACCCAGATCAACATGGTTCAAAAAATACCCATAGATAGACAGACGACATATAATAACAATAATAAGAATGTGAACCGGACACCTTCTCTCCAGTGAATATTTACACAAGATTGGTAAAAAAGACTCCCCAAACTGTGAATGTGGCCAAATTGAAGACTAAAACCACATTTTTTTTTTATGTCCAATCAAAATTAGTCAACGTTTTTACGCGTCCGCTTTTTTGGCATTGGTTCAGAACCGGTTCGAAGCAGTCAATGGAAACACCATTGCCCGTTTCAAACCTGTTTTGAACCAATGTCAAAAAAGTGGTCGCGAGAAAACGGCTCACATAGAAAACACTTATGAATCTAAAAAAAGATGAATATCACAAAAATATTTCAACCACTCTTTCCAAAACAAATGATTCCAAAACCTTTTGGTCTTTGATAAAAAAATTCAACCCTCAGAAACCCTTCTCTCCTCTTTGTGAAGCATTAAAAATAGGGTTCCAGGGAAGATCCTGCCAACTAGAGGTGTGGCATTAATTATAAGTGTTTATTAAAATGACCATTTTCTGTGAAAGGAAACAACATATTTGCGGCCAACATTAGATTGAGAGAACGGGAGAGATCCATGAGATTTTCTGCCCATACTTGCCCTATCTCATTCCGGAATCAATTGAATGACGCAAAGCCCATTCCAAACATTCTTTTCACTTCATTGTTTTAAACGTGCCTTTGACTCAATTAATCATAACTTGCTTTGGCAAAAACTACACCGGCTGGGAATAGACACAAAATATATTGATGTTATATTAAAAGTTTGTGACATACATTGAAATGAACAAAACTATTTCACAATCAAATCGATTCATGCTCCTCAAATCGTAAATCACTGTCAATCAGAATTCCCAAGTTTAATTTTTTTACTCACTTACCTCTGTGTGTGTCCAAAAATTCATGTGCATTTTGAAACCCAGTGAACTTGAACTAAGTAGAAACTATCGAAGATAGAGATGCGGGTCTTTGTTGTCATAATTAGTATCAAAACCACTAGCAATAAACAATAGATGCATGTGATGGAAACGTGATTCTAATTTAAAAATAAAAACATCACCACTTGAATTCTGAGAACGATAAATAAATGAATAAACAAACTAAAAACATTACAGTGAATCCAAAAATAATGACGCCAACTATGTATTATTTCACAATTTCAAGAAAATACGAGTATCTAGATGGTACAGCAAAATGTACAAATCTTTGAATAAGAAAAGCTCCAGAGCCTCATTAGAGGAGGTGAAAGAATAAATCAAGGAAGCACTAATACATTAATTTTTAGGTTGAAAACAATTTTAAGCATTATATTAATTCAGTTTCGTTGTGTAAAGTACAGGAATATATAACATTATCATGAACTTATTATATTCCTCATTTTGCCAATTCCCTCGATTTCACTTTCCAAAACGTCACCAGGTTTCAAGTATTCTGGAGGATTTCTGTGCATACCTACCCCGGATGGGGTGCCTGTTAGAATAACATCACCTGGTTGTAAAGTCACTATCCTAAAAAGTGGATAAATCAAATTTATTCTGCTTAAAATAGTATTAGTTTGTGGAGGTACTTACTGCGACAAATAAGACACTAAAAAGTCAATTTTAAAAATTAATTCAGAAGTATTTCCGTTTTGCTTCAATACCCCATTCACCCAACTTTTGATGGCAAGATTGTTGGGGTCTACTTTGTTTTTTGTAACAACAGCGGGTCCCAATGGGCAGAAGGTATCCATAGATTTGCCCAACAAAAACTGTCCATTGTTTCTGCTTTTTTGCCAGTCTCTTGCGCTAATGTCTTGTGCTACTGTGAACCCGAAAATATATTCTTGGGCTTGGTCTATTCTGATTGCTTTGGCTACTTTGCCTATGACTATTGCTAATTCTACTTCCCAATCCACTTGCTATAAAAAAAAATATATTTTATTGTCGTGCATCCTGAATGCATAAGATCTGTTGCAACAATGCCGAAAATAAAGAATAATCATCAGCAATTAGCAAGGTTGGAGAAGATGTTTGTATAATTATACTTGAAACACCAATAGACAATATATTTTACTTACATCGGTAATGGGAGGAATAACAACATTATCATGAGGCCCTACAACAACTGAAGAAAATTTGCTAAAGAACATGGGTTCCTTTGGATGAGGTAAATTTTGCTCATCGCAATGGCCTGTGTAGTTTAGCCCAACACATACAACTTTATCACTGTTGGTAATAGGAGAAAGCAGAATGGCATCTGATATTGGTGTTATTGATTTGCTGTCAGCGATTATCCTGAAAAAAAGATTTTTTTTTTAATAGGATCAAAGACAATGTTTTTACTGTTGTTGTTGAGAATCTGAATATGTTTTAGTTTATTTGAATTATTATTATTATTTAATTTTGGAAAAGTTTAGATACGAAAATCTGTTCGAACAGAAGGACACAGAAATTGAGTTTTTTTCAGTTTTAATATCCTCCTCATCTACCAAGATATGCGGAGATTCACAAGGATCCAGAGTTCGTGTATCTAAGCGGATAAAATAGGCCTATTCGGGTTTGGAAAAAGTAGGTACGGTTCTAGAACGGTCCAGAAGAATCGCACAGTTTATTATTGAAATTTGTGATAGTCCGAGTCGTTGTTATTTTGTTGATCAATAAACTGGACGATTGTTTTGAACCGTTCTAGAACCGTCCTTTTTCCAAACCCGAATAGGCCAAATAAAAGTTGTTGTAAGTGTGCTAGTCAGTTTAAATTATGGATGGGAATGATGGAATAGCATTAGGATCTGGAGAACCGTTGGAGTTACAATGTTGGTTAGATTAGGAAAAAGTGGCGCAATTTACCGCTCAATAAAATGGTACTTTGACATTTGAAAAATTCCGAACAGTTTCGGAAATATCCGGAAAAACCCGAAGTTTTGCAAAATCGATTTTATTTTTTCCTGAGCTTATTTGAGGAGATATATTTCAAAATAAATGTCACTTCATCGTAACAACTTTTTCTACTCTACAAGATGACATTTTCTTTGGGCCACCATCGTCAACTTAATTTTCTTAAATACGGCCCTTGATTTTTTATTTCAGATTTTAAGAGCTTCTGATGTCTCAAAACCTATGACGTATGGCATTTATTCGATTTTTTTTATTTTTACTTTTTACTTATTTTTTACCAAAATTCCATTTTCTGTCTCCCTCTAACCCATTAAAGTTCTTTATGGAAAGTGCCAATAATATAATTTTTCCGAATAAGTGCAATACGTCATTGGTTTTGGGACATCAGAAGCTTATAAAATCTAAAATAAAAAATAAGGGTCCGTATTTAAAAAAATGAAGTAGAGAATGGTGGCCCAAAGACGGAACGTCAAATTTCAAAATTGATAATGTCATCTTGTAGAGTTGAAAAAGTGGTAACGATGAAGTCACATCATTTATTTTGAAATATCTCCTCAAATAAGCTCAGAAAAAAATAAAATCCATTTTGCAAAATTTTTGGTTTTTCCGGATATCTCGGAAAATGTTCGAATTTCTTAAGTGTCAAAGTACCATTTTATTGAGCGTTAAATTGCGCAACTTTTTCTTAATCTATCCAACATTGTAACTCCAAACGTTCTCCAGATCCTAATGCTATCCCATCTTTTTCTTGGAGACAGTGTTATATCTAAGTATCCTACTAAAAACTATAAACCATTGATATAATTAATCAGGGTGCCTCATATAAATATCTGTAACATCTTATTGATTTTTTATATGGTAGAGGTACCTACCAGCCACCGGATTATTAAATAAAATCTAGTTTATTTTATAGCTTAGAAAAAAACATTAAAATACAATCTAAAACTATTCTACACAACGCACTTACCTTCGAGCTTTCTCATACGTAGAATTTCCAAGCTTCAAAAAGTCCACCAAGTTATTAGGTATAGAAGAGTCCACTGAACTTATATCAATAATATCACCTCCTATGGATAATTGAGCCCCTAGGTGTTGCTTTCCACCTTTCTTGTTTTTGTATTGCACATACCTCATCTTGTTTGTAGCCGAAATAGAAAAGTTCCTATGCAAATGCTTTTTTAATATCGACCTTCCTAAATTCACGGCTAGACTGTTAAACGTGGGATTCATATTGACTTTAAAATAATCAAAAGCACTCTATTGAAAGTACCTATTTAATGAGATACACAACCACGCGGTAATCAATGACGCAAATTTGCTAAAAGTGTTTTTAATTTGCAACAAGATTAGTACCTATCTGTACGATAAAAACCTCTCATGCGATAACATGGATAACAGGGATAAACTGAGTAATAATGAAACACCATAAAACGAGGTTGCAGGTAAAAATATATTTGTCCCTCAACTTAAATCTAAATTCATCATGCTGTTAATTTATAGGTTCCTACCTACTTTAACAAAGTTGTATCGTGAACCGGTCGGTGGTCACTTTTCAATTTTCATAAAACTGGAGGTTATAAACGTTACATCTGTGACGTTGCCTACTAGGCTGATGAAAATGTGGGGATAATAATACTCAACTATTTGTTTTGATGCATTTGAAACATATGAATTAAAATTTTCCTTTATAATAATTATGCAGGTATGCCTGGAGAACCTGTCCTAATTATTTTATCATGCAATTTCAGAACAATAATTGGTTGTGTTTGATAGATGATGTTCATCTTAAATCTATTTTGCTTTTGGGTCATGTTCGGGTATCTCCATATTTGTTATATATTTACAAATATCATATGTTGAAGTAGGTCAAAGTGGGTGTGTGAATCCACAAATGCGCAAGAGCGAGTGTGCAATAAAAACAACTAACATTTTCAAATTAATATTAAAACAATGATGATACCAGGGATTCTCAAGAAATTATAATGTAAATTGTTTTTAGTCACCTTCGTGAAAAACTGAAAATGTCCGCGTTCTCTACGATTTTGACTTTTTCAGGGGGGTTATGTTCAAGTTTATGTTGTGTTTGTAAACTTCAAACCTGTACCTAAGTATATCTTTTTAGGTGGGTTTATACAGCACATAACATAACATAAGAAATAAGATAAAATAAGACATAACATAATATAAGAAAATAAGAATTTTGTGGCGTTTATACAGAAAATAACATAACATAAGAAATAATTTCTAACCAATCAGCTGGTACGTGTACTTATGTAAACTTTACCGAAAACACTATATTTGATCAAAAAAAATATTAATTAATAATTTAGCAGTAACAGAAAATCAATATCGAATTCCAAAAAATTCCCAATAGCTGAAAACAGAATCAAAATATATTTTTTTTTTGGTTGGAATGTTTTGTTTACTACTCCGCCATTGCCGAAATCAAGGGAGGAGCATGCGCAGATCCGTTTTCACATAAAATAAGACATAAAAGTTAAAAGTTAACCAACTTTATTATTTCTTATGTTATGTTATGTTATGTTATTTTCTGTATAAACGCCATAAGGGGTTTCCATAAGTTCAACTTTTTATCTTATGTTATGTTATTTCTTATGTTATGTTATGTGGCTGTATAAACCCACCTTTTGATTGATATAGGTATATAGGTACTTTATTGATAACATATTGGTTTTCGATTTTACTTGAATATACTAGGTCAATCGACTCTTGGAAATGATTTATATTATGATTCAGGAGTAGAAAGGGGAAATCCCTTTCGATTTTCCTACTGTACTGGCCTCATTTCTCAAGATATGTTTTTTCCCTGCTTTTTTTAAAGAATTCCTTGCCTCTACCAGGAGTACCTAGTACAGTGTTATTTTGTTTGTCCACCGCCAGTAGTTTGGCCTGTGAGCCTCAAACTCGAAACTCTGTCCTCAATTAAAATTTATTCACGTGATTTAAATACAGTAGTCTCACTAATCTGCGAGCTTGTATTCGCAACAATTTTGTTGATGAAAATGAATGAAATGAAATGAAATAATGATCGAAATATATCTTTATTAAATAGGTTGGTACACCTAATATACACAAAAAATACAATACAAAAAAAATGCCTATTAGACATACAAGTAACTATCTACAAAATACAAGTAAAAATCTTAAGAAGATAGCAGCACATTACTTTGGTTCACCCAATCACATCAAGATGGTAAATGTAATAGTTATAGATTAATTATAATCTTCAGCCTGAATGTAATCCCTCATCAGTCCATCTTTGAAACTGAGGGAAGGCCCCTGATATCATTTGGAAGACTGTTAAATTCCTGAAAGCCTTTAAAAAACAATGAGTTCATTGTACTCTTCAAATTCGTTCTTGGAATAGAGAGATCGATGATCATTATTTCTTGTAGGGTAATCATGGATATCCCTATTAAAAATAAGAAACTGTTCAAAATAAGGTGGTGCTAACTTATTTACAATTTTGTATAGAAATATCATAGTAAGTGCATATCATATTGCATAATATTCTTAACAGAGAGCCAATTTAACGAGCTTAGCATAGAAGATACTGTCGTGAGACGCTGCGCTTTCAATATAACCCTCATGCCACGATTCTGGTCCTGGAGCTTCTGAAGTCTATAAGTTTGGTTTATAATAAACATGTACAGCAATGAAGCACAAATGTCAAAATGAGGCTGAATGATAGTATTATAAACAATAAGCTTTGACTGATAGGATAAACTTGCTGATATTCTACCAAAAAAGTAAATTTTTTTTTGCTATTTTTTTCTCAATGTAATCCCAATGGGATTGAAAGCTAAGTAAATTGTCAAGTTACATTCCCAAATATTTAATACATGTTACAAATTCAATACTCTCATTATCTGTCATTAATTGACGATTAATGTCTACACTTAGATGCAAAAAACATCGCCTTTGTTTTTGATACATTTAATTTGAATTTGATTTGATTCATTTTTTCTATTGCTTTGCTGAGATCATCATCACTACAAGCCAAAAAAGTGTCATCGGCAAAAAGATTTATAAACCCACAGTTCACAAACATATTGATATCATTGATGTATAGTATGAAAAGAAGCGGTCCCAAAACACTCCCCTGTGGTCGGTACTCCCATATTATTACTTATTTCAGTAGATACCTCTCCATTAAATCTTACTTTTTGTTTTCTATTAATGAATAAGTGAAGTTTACATGTCAACTATATCGGATTACTATCACTATGGTCAAATTATCAACTCTAGGAAACAGAATAAGAAAAGAATCATTCAGCATGAGAGAAAAAGAATCTTTAGCTATCATAATGTAACTATTACGAATTGACTATAAATCTAGGAGTGAATGAGAAATACCTACTCAATATTTTACAGAATATTTTTTTTAATTTTGATTATGCGTTATTTTTCTATGGAGGTTCGGATTAGAGAAGTGCACTCGGCTTCCAACTGAGTTGATAGTGATAAAACTATGCAAAATACATCAAAGACTTGTATGTGTGGTATAAACAAACAGTAGTGCATACTAAAAATCAGAACTCAAAGGTACAGGAAGTTTTTGTCTTGCTACTCACAAAAAAGGCATAAACGAAAATAAAATTTCATATTCCAAAAACAAAATCACGCCCAAATCTGCTTGGAACATCTCTACGAAAAGTTTTCTCAGTGCAATGTGGCATGGTCCACTCCTAACGAAAATTATGTTGGGAATTGTCTCTTGGCAGCCCGCAATTTAGCTACCAAATACTGCAAATGGACTGTATCTTCGAATAATGGATTGTATCGCCTTGAAATGATAATGCACCCGACTGAATTAGTAATTAGTACGGATATATTGAACTGAAATTAATTGAGTTGCTCAACCTTCAATGGCTTTGAAGTCGCAAATTACGTTGAAGAATCGGACCCAGAACTGACTAATATAAAGTTAATTTGACAACTATTCTGACAATTCTCGTAACTAAGGTTCGTTTTTCATGGTGCCGGATATTGAACAGGTATTTTACACCTTTAAGTCCGCAGAATTGAAAATACCTACTTAATTTCAATTCAATATACGACTTAACATACTCCTGGCCTTGAAAAGAATTTCAAAAAACTAAAAATTAATAACATGGCTATAAATAGCAGTAAAAAGACAATAAAATCGGATCATTAAATATAAATAATAATGTAGGTATCCTTGAAAAATATGATAGCCATCTAATTATTTAAACTGCAATATAACGATGGGAAACCCCAAAAGGAACCGTACAGAGGAAGCAATAAAAGTTCTAGAGTGCTTCTTAGAAAATGCCTTTATTCCAGGTTCAAGCTTTCGTTTATAATTATAAACTTCATCAGGACGAACTATATAACATGAAAAACAATCTATTACAGGCCGTATTCATTTTTAGTGACAATAATATACACTCACCAGAATTAGCATTAAAGCTCTAACATAAATAAAATAAAATAGTCGGCGATGATGATGCAGTCTAGAATAAAGATCATCTCATTAGAATAATAAATAGAATAGAATAAAGATCATCTTGTACATTAGGTCGGACCATCTGTATGGAGTTGTATGATTTCCCAGAAGAAGAAATAGCCGAACAATTAAAAACAACGCGCAACTTTGTTGTTATGCTATCTTCTCTGGAGGACACCGGACACCATGATGGGGGGAGAAATAAGATACTTCATTTTCATTCAACTTATGAGGAGACACATGAGATACTTAATTCTTGATATTCACGCATGAAGTCATCATACATTTGTTCAAGTCTGGGGTTTGACCTCAACCTACGTTCCATCAAATTGAAAAATTGACTTTATCCCACTTGTTTGGAATCTCCCAGAACACTAGCAGGTTCCTTCAAAGACACTGAAACAATAAATCTACCATTCGCATCCCGCCTATGTGTTTCAACAAAATGGGTTTCTGCTAAGGATTTTTCTTTTGATAACAAAGGCTTGCATGATAGGTATCTCCTCTAACACCCAAAACTTTCTTAGCTGATCTTGAATTTCAGAATTTCGATTGAAGTAACAATCGGGGTTCCTGAAACGACCAGAAGTCACCCAACCTAACTTTGTCTTTCGAATTATTGGTTTATTTGTGCTTTGTGCGTAAACGAATCGAATTATTTAATAAAAGATCCCAAACAAAACATAGACAGGCCAATCAAAATATAGATTTTATCTGGCCGATTAAAATTTGGATCCGCTAAATGAACATAGCTTGGAATTATTACACTTATGGATGGATCAAAATATAAGTACACCTGGAAGA